AGTCCTAAAATCTTTAAATTCCCAGTCTGATTAATTACAAAATCTCTGCCAAGTCTGAATCTGGTTCTGATGTTTGCTTTGTCTCTTTATGTGTTCTTTTGCCTTTTAGAATGCCCCGTGTTTGTTATTGTTGTTATCGTCGATAGCTAGACATGATGTATTGGGAAAATATAACTGGGGTAAATAGGCCTTAATGTGAGGTCTTATGTTTATCTGACTAGCAGTTAGGCTGTGTTTGTTGTTACTGTAGCTATAGGTGACAGAGGCTAAAATGTCTTCTGGTATCTTTGTCTTTTGTCTCCTCTCTTATCTTTTGGTTTCCCTAGAGATTCCTTTTTAAATAGTTTCAGAGCTTTGCCATTCTTTCAGCTGCAATCCCCTATTATCATACAGGAGCCCATAGATGTCCTGGTAGGGTATGGAGGGAAGGGAAGCAGGAAGTGTACCATAGTTTTATGATTAGGTCTCAGTCTTTAGTGAGCCTATGACGCTGGGCTGTGACCTTCACAGGTGTTTCTCAGCTTTTTTAATTTCTCCTTAGGTGAGAAAGGAAGGCTATAATAGGCTAGAGTTGGGTATTTCCCTTCCCCAGTGTCAATTAGGCTCTGGTTAAAAAAATAATAATAAAATGTAATTACTGATAAGGAAGGACTTCTGCCATTTTGCAGGGATTCTTTTCTGTAAGTCTTATACCTTCTTTTGCTCTTTCGTTCACTGACACCTTTTGTGTTCAGTCGATTTTTTGTATTGTACTGTTTTGATTCTCCTCCTTTTGTGTATTTTTTTAAGATTTTTTTTTTATTGTTCACCATAGGCATTACAGTTGACATTCTAATTTATAACAATTAGTTTGAATTGATACCAGTCTAACTTTAATAGCATACAAAAACTCTGCTCCTATTCAGCTCTACCCTTGTTTATATTCTTGTCAGAAATTACATTTTTATACATAAATATAAATTTTTAATTGTGTGTTATGTATTTATCTTTTAAATCGTGTAGAAAACAAAAAGCAAGAGTTATAGCATGAAGGACTCCCTTTATCATTTTTCAGAGGGCAAGTTTAGTAGTAATGAATTCCTTCAGCTTTTCTTTATTTGAGAATGTTTTAATTACTCCTTAATTTTTGAGGAATTGTTTGCCAAAAAGAGAATTGTGTCTTGATAGTTTTTTCTTTCAGCACTTTAAATACGTTACCCCGGTGCCATCTGGCCTCCATGGTTTCTGATTAGAAATGGTTGTTAATCTTGTTGCGTGTCCTTGTTACATTGCTTCTGTGTTGCTGCTTTCAAGATTTGGTTATTATTTCTTCAAATATTCTTTCCGCCCTTTTCTTTCTTCTTCTGAAACTCCCATAATGTGTTGTATGTTGGTCCACTTGACTGGATGATTTCAGATGTCCTATCTTCAAGTTCACTGGTTGTTTTGCCTGCTGAATATACTGTTAGCCTCTCTAGTGAATTTATTTCAGCTATTGTACTTTTCAGTTCCAGAATTGCTTTTCGGTCCCTGTTTATAATTTCTCTTTATTGATATACTCAACTTGTTGATATCTTTGTGGATTTGCTTTTTGCTCGGGCAATCCTTCAGCATAGCCACACTATTTATATTATAGCTCTGCCTCAGCCTTCACTTCCTATTTGCACTGAGCCTGAAGAGCAACCAAATTTGGCCAGAAAAGCCTTTTACCTTTTCAGAATTGAAAGTTTTAGGTCTTCTCAGGTCTTTTCTGTATATGCATCCTGGCTTGGGCATACATGTGGCTTTCTAAACTACCCAGAATACATGGGTGATTTTTAATGTCCTTATTGCCCAAAGAAAATTCTCCTCCTTTTCCTCCCAGGCCTTAAGCAGTCTGTGTATGTTTCAGTCACAATCCTTTGCCCAATAGCTGTGGGCTTTTTGTCTACCTTACAATGTTTTTAAGTAATGCCTACCACTTTTCTGCCCTGAATGAGTTCCAAGTTAGGCAAAACAGAGACCTTAGATAAGCCCTTCAGATAGTTCACAGACAGGTTAGAACAAACAGTATTTTTGCTCTATTCCTCCTGGAACTAGGTGCTAGGGTCCCATACTGAGAACTTGGGCTGCTGTCTTCAAGCACACCTCCAGGCTAGGAGGGAACTTGACACACAAGCTGGTATCTCTAGCCTCATTTTCACTGTATTTTTCCTCGGAAAATTATCTTTCATAAATATTAATAATTTGGTAAATTAGATGATCACATAATGCTTATAGTTTGAAAAACTCACTGATACCGTCTTGCTTGTTCCTCTAGATTCTAAATATCATCTCCAGATCTTATAGATATCTATTAAGAAGGCAGCCTTGAGAGTATTTTTACATTCAGGATTCTTGATAGGACAAGAGCCATTTTTAGAGAAAGCTGATTCTTTCCTTTGAATTCAGATCTGACTAGAAGCAATATGCCCCACAGTAAGCAAAAGAACTTTTAAAAATGTTTTTTACTTTCTCTTTTCCTTTTGATTTTTTATTCAGTGTTAATCAATTGCATTTGCATTATTATCTATGGCCATATTGGCTCCTGTACTCTTTGACATGAGCCCTTTAGTCTTTGAAAAGTTCTTTTTTTCTGGCATCACAAGATGTTCTACTCTTACTTCCCCAGACATAGAAATGGCTGTCCTTCCTGTTATAGGAGTTAATAATTACAACTCACAAATCTGGGCTGTTGGCTTGGCTTTGTTCTAGGCCTTCTCTGTAGACATACAAAATATCTGTTTGGTAGTACAGAAGGGAAAGGTATGGGGACATCTTGGGCAATACTCAGAGTTAGTTAGGTTGAGGGCACAGTCTTCCATAAGTTTGATCAGCTATAAGAAGTTACAACTCAGAGGGCAGGGTCCACACAAGGCCACTATCACTTGTGACACCAACTGCAAATTTAGAGGGTTTCCCAAAACCACTCTCAAGTTTGATAATTTGCTAGCAGGATTCATAGAACTCACTGGAAGCTATTGCATTCACGACTATATTTATTATAGCAAAAAGCTAAAACCTAAAACCAGGCAAAGGAATAGATATGCAGGTCCAAACAAAGAGCTTCAGTTGTCCTCTCCCCAAGGAGTTAATGGACAGTGTTACTTTTTCCTCGTTCTGATGCATACTAACCAAAGAAGCTCACCCAAGATTTGGTATTCAGAGTTTGTACTGAGGTTTCATTACAAAGGCAATATTGAGTCATTGCCCCCGTGGTTGATCTTACTTCTACCCTGAATTATATGATTGGTCTTTCTGGTGTGGTCCTCTACACGGAGTCATCTCTTAGCATAAACTATTAGGTGTGATCAAGAGCCCACCATAAATAACAAAAGACACTACAGTCACTCAGGAAATTTCATGGATTTAGTGGTTCCTCAGAAACTGGGACAAAGGTCAGGCCTCTCTTAAGGCGAGACCAAATTCATTGCTACCCAGGCAGTTAACATTTTAAAAATATTTATCCAGAATAAGTAGAAAATTTATTTTTTAAACCTCTTTCCATTCTAGAAATTACGGAAGAAATCCCTATGAAGACTTTGAACATGAAGACTGTGTATGTTTCTGTATTACCCACAACAGCTGACTTCTAACATTCAGCTATCAATGTGGTTCAGTCAGCCTTTTCCTGGAATGTACCTGTTCACACACACACACTGAAGAAATTTCCTTCAGATTCATCTATAATATGCCACTTGTCGTCTCAATATGAAATGGGATGATTCATCAAATGGTTTGAGACCTCACAGTAATATTCACACTTAACCTTAAACACCTATGTAGTTATGTTCGGGGAAGGTTACAGTGTTACCTCAGCACAACAGAGTTTATTTCTATACTTGAATTCTTAAGTATAGAAGGTAGAAGTGATTTAAATGACATAGTATGTGTGTATCATTCTGTGGTCTTTTAAAACTTATTTGAGACCTCTCGAAGGAATGGACAATGTTATATGTTTCTGCTACCTGGATTTTCTTGAGTAATTTGATGCAACATTTTGTTTCAGTAAGTCAAGACAATAAACATGCTTCTCTCAGTTAATAAATGTGTTAGAAGTAATTCATTCTCCCATAGTCTAATGAAACTTGAAATTCATAATTGTTAAAGAACACAAAAACTTAATAATGACTTCTTTATTAAGGCAGTGGACAAAACATCTAATTTTACTTCCCAAAATCCTGTGTGTCAAAGAAGCAGATGCCAAAACAAAATTAGACATGCAAGAATTTATTGGGGGAAATATACATGAGGGATAAAGGGGTGAGAGAGCAAGCATAGATAGAGAGGGAGCCTTCAGACTACAATTTAGGTCTGGTACCTGTAAGGAAAGTAAGGAAGATTGATTAGAAACAGCCTAGACTGCAGTGCAACTCTGAGGAAACTTTGATTAGGCCAGTCAAGAGTCCCCAGGCAAGAATTTCTTTGAGAAAGCATCTAGAGTTGGGTAGAAATGACCTGTCTTTTTACCCCTGCATTGCTTAGCTAGTGGCTTGGAGCAGCCCAGGTGGGCATGGTTTCAGCACAAATACCTCAAGAGATATGAAAGTGTAGTGGCTGGAGGCTGTCAACCAATTATGCTTCTTGCATCGGATTCTCCCATAGGGAGATCTGAATGGTGCATCTCTGACTGCTACAATAACTGTATTCAAATCCAAACCCACAAAGTTGGAAGAAACAAAACAAAATAACAAGTATTGACAAGGATGAAGAGAAATTGGAACCCTTGTGCACTGCTGGTAGGAATGTAAAATGCTGCAGTCACTGTGGAAAACAGGATGGAGGTTCCTCAAAAAATTAAAAATAGAATTACCATATGATCCAGCAATCCCACTTCTGGGTATATACCCCAAAGAATTGAAAGCAGAGTTTTGAATAGATATTTGCACACACAAGTGTATTACAACGTTATTCACAACAGCCAAGAGGTGGAGCAAACCAAATGTTCATGGATAAAGAAAATGTATACACATACAATTTAATATTATTCAGTCTTTAAAAAGAAGGATAAACCTTGAGGACACTATACTAAGTAAAATACACCCGTCCTAAAAAGACAAATGCTGTATGATTCCTTATATATGAAGTACCTAGAGTAGTCAGACTCACTGAAACAGAAAATGCAATGGTGGTTGCAAGGAAGGAGAAAATGGGGAATTATTAACATGGAGTTTTAGTTTTGCAAGAGGAAAAAGTTCTAGAAGTCTTTTTGCACAACAATAAATATAGTTAGTACTATTAAACTATCCGTAAAAGTGGTTAGGTTGGTAAATTTTATGTATTTTTTACTACACATTTCAGATTTTTTTTTTTTTTTTTTTTTTTGGATAGAGACAGAAGCTGACCTGAAAGAGCCCCCAGTAGCCAAAGCTGGAATAATTTGAACAAAAAAAAATTAGTATTGGATTAAAATTCAAAGTGTGGTAGTGCCCCTGACTCCAACTCCTTATCGGCAATGTCACTTTCTGTGCTTTCAGTTATAGTCAACTGCAGTCCAAAAATATTAAATGGGAAATACCAGAAATAAATAATTCATAAGTTTTAAATTGAGTAGCTGATGAAATCTCAAGCTGTTCCCTTCTGTCCCACCTGGGATGTGAATTCTCCCTTCATCCAGTATATCCATGCTGTAGATGCTCCCTGCCCATTAATCACTTAGTAGCTGTCTCAATTTTATCAACTGTCACAATATTGCAATGCTTGTGTTCAAGTAACCCTTATTTTACTTAATAATTAGGAGCCAAAGCACAAGAGTAGTGATGCCGATGATTTGGATATGCCAAAGAGAAGCTGTAAAGTGCTTCCTTTAAGTGAAAAGGTGAAAGTTCTTGACAATAAGGAAAGAAAAATTGTATGCTGAGGTTGCTAGGATCTATGATAGGAACAAATCTACCTGTGAAATTATGAAGAAGGGACAAAAATTGTGCAAATTTTGCTGACTCACCTCAAACTGCAAAAGTTAAAACCATGGTGTGTGATAAGTGCTAGTTAACATGTAAAAGGTATTAAATTTGTGAATGGAAGACACAAAATGTATTCCACTTGATGGCAACATATTGTGCCAAAATTTGCTGAGCCTGTGATTTCAGCAAGGTTTTTGAAACAAGTGACCACGTTCACATAACTTTAATTACAATATAGTTCTAATTGTTCTATTTTATTAATCTCTCACTGTCTAATTTATAAATTAAACTTTATCATAGATATGCATTTATAGGGAAAACTATATATAGGTTTAGTACTTACTATCCACAGTTTCAGGTATCCACTGGGGGTCTTGGAATATATCCCCCATCAACAAGAGGGGCTACTGTATAAAATAAATTTCCATGGGTCCATACTGATATAAATGATTGAATAAATTAGCAAATGAGAGAGAAGAGACAAATCTGTAGAGAATTCTAAATAATTTATGTAGACAGTCACCTTCAAGGCAGTTTAACTCCCCACATTTTGAAAATGGGCTGTACTTAGTTAGTGACTTCCCTCCAAAGAGTAGAGTATGGAAGTTAGTGACTTCCTTCCAAAGAGTAGAGTAACTTCACAGCTTAGAAAACTAGCAAACACTACCTCGGGCAGGTGTTAAAAGAGAGCATCGGTTATGTTAGCAGATTCTTAGTGCAACGTGATGAGAATGCTACTTCATCTCTGGTTCTCCCAAGAAGCTATAACCCCAGTGTAACCATGAGAAAAACATCAGACAAACCCAAATTCAGAGATACTCTACAAAATATCTGACTCCTCAAAACCATTCAATTCATCAGAAGGACTGTCTAAGAAACTGTACTAAATATGTGGCATCCTGAAAGTTATCCAGGAACAGAAAAAGGTCTTCAGAGAAACACTCATGATATCAATAAAATATAGACTTTAGTTAACAATACAAGCATACCTCATATTATTGTGTGGTGCTTTGTGGTGCTTTGTAGATATTGTAATTTTTACAAATTGAAGGCAAGACCTTCCACCAGCAAAAAAGATTACAACTCACTAAAGGCTCAGATGATGGTTAGCACTTTTTACAAATAGTAAGTTTTAATTAAAGTATGTACATTATGTTTTTTAGATGTAATACTATCATGCACTTAATCGACAGTATAGTATAAACATAACTTCTTTACACTGGGTACCAAAAACTTTGTGTGACTCACTTTATTGCTATATTTGCTTTATTGTGGTCTAGAACTGAACCCACAATATCTCCAAGGTGGTACCTGTATTATTCATTGTTAGTTTAATAGTTGTGAAAAATGTCTCATAAAAATATAACACATTAGCAATAGGGTAAACTGGGTGTGAGTTTAGAGCTCTGTACTATCTTTGAATCTTTTCTGTAAATCTGAAACTTAAAATTTTAAAGTTTAATAAGTGGAAAAAATTAAATTTAAAATCTATTTGCAATAGCATCAAAAACATGAAATACTCGGATAAATTTAACCAAAGATGTACAAAACCAGTTACCTGAAAGTTACAAAATACTGCTTATAGATAATAAAGAAAACCTATGTAAGTGAAAGAGATGTATCATGTTAGTTAGGACTGCTATAACAAAATACCACAGACAGGGTGGCTTAAACAATTACTTTCTCACAGTTCTGGATGCTACTGTAAATCCAAGATCAATGTATCTGTAAGTTTTGTTTTTCCTAAGGGCTCCTTCCATTATCAGATGGCCACTTTTTCACTGTGTCCTGACATGGCCTCTTCTCTGTGCATGTGTACTCCTGGTGTTGCTTCCTTTTTTTGTCAGGCTACTAGTTGTACTGGATTAGGGACCCACCCTTAAGATTACATTTATAAATGCTCTATCCCCAAACGTAGTCACATGGGGGCTAGGACTTCAGCATAAGAATTTTAAAGGAACAATTCAGTTGATAACAACATGAGTTCAACATTGTTGAGCTGACAATGCTCCCTAATTGATCTATAAACCCAATGTAATCCCAACCGAAATCATAGACATTAACCAGCTAATTTTAAATTTTATATGGAAATGCAAAGGATTTAAGAGCCAAATGAACTTAAAAAGAAAAGTACAAAGGTAGAGGATTTAACCTGATTACAAGACTTATAAAACTACAATAATTAAGACTATGAAACTGGCATAAAGATAAATCAATAGGCAAAGCAAAGAATCCAGAAATAGACCCACATATATATTTTCAATTGATTCTTTTAAATGATCTTTTCCTTAAAATGGTGCATAGGAAAAGTAGATTGTCATAAATACACAGAGAGAGAACCTTGACCTATACCTTTCCACTTACAAAAACTCTACATCAAAATATAAACAAATATCGCAAATATAAAATATAACAAAAGAGGTATATTTTACCACAATGTGTATGTGTGTGTGTGTGACAGAATTAAATGTAAGAGCTAAAATTATAAAACTTAGAGAACTCCAGAAAATCTTAGTGACCTTGTATGGTAGGTAGAATAGCTCCTCCAAAGATGTTCATAACCTAATGCCTGGAACCTGTAAATATATTAGGTGCTAAAGAGACTTTGCAGGTATGATTAAGATTATAGGCTTAAAGACTGTAGAGATTAAAAAAAAAAAAAAGATTGTAGAGATTCTAATTTATCTAGGTGGACCCAATATAATCACAGGAGCCTTTAAAAAGCAGAGAACTTTTCTCTGGCTGGAGGCAAATGGCAAAAGAGGGATAATAGATTCCAAGCATGAAAATTTGTTACTCCACTGCTGGCTCTATGATATGAGCATCCATGTGCAAAAACTGGAGAGAGGCCTATAAGAGCTAAGGTTGGTCCTGTGCCGGCTGGAAAATTACTGCTTGGCTATCGCCCATGGGAACATAACATTCTAACAATAAGCTTTCTGCTTCTGTACCCCAGCTTGCACACCCGACCTGTGGGTTGACAGGTAGTGAATAGAAGAAAAATAGACGTTTGTGTTTAAGACAGAATGAGGAATGGGATTTAGGGCTTAAAAACCCCGTACCTCTACATTTCGGGACTGCTTAATTTGGGGTCTGCGTACCCCTGGCAGACCCAGCTGGCTGAATAAAGAGTGTGTTTCC